CCCCCCCTGACAGTCAGGGGCCGAATATATAAAGTGTTCCATTCCAAGCAATAACCTAGCTAAGTTTCCCGTCCCCGCGCTTTGTAAAAAAACGAATATGTGCGCCCCCCACGATGGAGCCAAGGGCCATGTATAATCAGTGTCTGTCTCATATACATATAAGCATGTCTTAACCAGGGTAATATATCATGTCAAAAAAATAACAACCGTTGCCGCCGTCCTATTTCGCTTCCTGCGCTGCCGTCCCATCGGGCGTCCCAGCCGCCGGTGCTGCCGCCTCTTCGCCGGCCCCTTCCACCTGTTGTTCCCCGTCTTCCTCCTCTTCATACTCCTCGTACTCCTCATATTCTTCTCCCTCCTCGGGGATGTAGCCGTTCTGGCGTTCCCATACCTCGCGGCGTATCTTCTCATCCTTGAGTAACCTCTGTCTTTCCACCTCTTCAAAGCCGCCCGACTTCTTCAGCTTGCCCTCCTGCACAAAATTCTTAATTTCACGGTGGAGCGGGTTTCCCTTTCGGCTCGCCAGCTCCTTCTGCCGAAGCTTCTCAGCGCGCTCAATGGCCTCGAGTCTATTCTCGTGGTTTGGCTGGAGGGCGCGGACCTCGCCGAGGACACCCTCCTTCGCGGCGTTTTGATCCAGACTGTTGCCGAGGTTGTTGAGGCCTCTGGAGAACTGGCGCGCCGAGCCAGCACTGGCGTTCGTGCCGTTGTCCTTCATCTGCTCCTTCGTCGCTTGCTCAACAAGCACAAAGGTCTCAGAGGCCTTCTCGAGATCGTCGCGCAGATCCACCAGCAAGTCCTCCATGAGGCGGAGCTCATCTCGGCCCTGGCAGACATCCTCAAGCTCCTTCTCCCAGATCTTAGTCCAGATGGGCTTCTCTTGAATCATGTAGTCCTCCATCTTCTTGAGCTCCTTGGTCAGGCCACCAATTTCCTTGGAGACGCCTTCCAGCTGCCTGGGCAGTGGTCGCACGCCGCGGTGCACAACATCCTTCCGCAGATCCTCGACCAAGTCCTGGAGATCATCGACCTTGCCAACAAGGTGGTCTGAGTCGGAGTTGAGTTGCTTTCGGCCACTTGCGACGTATGAGTATCCAGCATCGCCTTCGATGTCGGGAATGACGGCCTTGGCGGCCACTTCCTTGACATTCGCAGCCTTCTGTCGAAGTGCCGACATGGAGGTCTGGACCTCTGATTGGAAATTGGCATAAGTTTGGCGGATAACAGCAAGATCCCGGCGGAGGCTCTGCAGTTCGCCTTGTTGGCCAGCTGGGAGTCTCTTGCCCAAGCCCAGAGGCGACCGCATGCCGTCGAGACCACTGGAAACGACGGGTGGAGCGACTGCCATTCTCGCCAACTCCTTGGACGTTTCTTGCTGGATGTCGGAAACACGTTGGAGGGCAGTTCCTTGGTCATCCACGTTCTGTTTAACTTCACGAACAATCTTTGTCAACGCTGACATCCCGTCGTCAAAGTGTCGTTTAACCTCATCCAACTGTTCGACATTAAGAACAAGAACTGTGCGATCCTTGATGTCCGCCAAGTCTTCCAGCTCATGCCGCACGCCAGATACGGGGTCCTGGATGTAAATTTCAGGCAAGTCTGCGCCATTCTGTTGCGTGCTCCACGAAAACTTCTCAATAAATGCGAGTTGCAGGCGACCAAGGGAGAGCTCTTCGCGGCCTTCTGGCAAGACGAACTTCTTTACTTTGGACTTGTACTGAAGGAAGAGGGTCAATTCACGGGTGGGCGTCGGCGGGGGAGAGACCTGGAAATAGGACTCGCTGGGCTTCGTTTCTCGTTGTGGGGTCTGAATTGTCTCCTCCTTCTTCTTGGGTATTTCCGGTTCGACTTTTGCTTCCTCAGGGGTATCAGGTTCGAAGAAGGGTGGATCGGTTAATGGGCCAGACAAGGTGGCGGCCGACATGTGCTTATCTTGGGGGCTCTCAGCTGGCGCCGGACTCTCGGGTGGAGGAAGCTGGGGGGATTGTTCCTCTGATACTTGACTGGGAACTCTAACGGGAGAGACTTCATGCCCAATTCCACTTCTTGGCTGCGCTGATGGATTGCGACTATGACGAATCGAGTGTCTGGATTGAACTGCACGCAAGGACTCCCTGGCAGCTTCTCTCTGGCCTCGATTAGGGACGGGGCCATTCTGCGATGGGAGCATTGGCATCCCAGTCGATCCTCCCAAGTGTTTTGATATTTGATACTGAGAATATCGTCGGGATGCACGTCGCTCAAGATCTCCCCCCTTTTGCAGCGCTGCCAGAGCACTGGATGTATTATCTGGAGGAGTAGGCGGCGGCGGCGGAAATGAGTCGACATTGACATCGCTCTTGACTGGAAACGTTGGGATTGCTGATGAATCTGTGGGATATGGGGGCAACACCGGGATATTTTGCATCGTGTTGCTCGACAACGACGACTGCTCCGAAGCTACTGTTTCCTGAGACGGATCTCGAACTGAGTTGAATCGACGTGAAGGCGATGGGTTCCGGATGGGAGGCATAGATTCGCTTCGAGGCTCTGGCTTGTATCCATTTTCTATCCCTTCCTCGAGTAAGTTGGTCAAACCACTTGCGCCACTTGCCACGGTGCTGACGCTCGTGGTCCTCTCGGGGATAGCGGCGGAGCCAGTACTCTCACGATCTCTCATCTGCTTCTGTCGAAGTTTGTGCTGCTTCCGCTTGAGTCCGTGTAGTAAGTTGATGATGATGTCTCGTATCCTAGGCAGATATTTCTCCAGGTTCTCGGAGCTTGCTTCCTGGCTCAGTGTGGTCTCGAGTATGTGGCGGAGGAGGTCCGGGACATTTCCCAAGTCGGAAACATCGACATTAATGGCCGTGAAGGCACGGCATGCCATATTAAATTCATATCCCAATCGTACGTAAACATCAGAGACTTCGGTATCGGTTGCTTGCCCGCGAGACCACTGGGTCAGGGTTTCGAGCAGCTGTTTCGTAGCAACTAGCAGGTGGGTGACGCTCTTCTCTATTTGTGACAACGGCATGTTCGATCCGCTTCCAGAGCCCTAAATATAATCAAGCAAAGTCAGAAGGCCATCCTACGCCAAATGCGATGAGGGCTTGAGGGGGGAGCACGGGGTTCCCCACGACGCGGCTGAGGCTGGGAACTATCGCCCACCGGCGTCAGCCAAACCCAAGCCATGTAATTGAACGCACCTCTCTGGTCACCCGCTTTGCGCTACCCGACTGTCCTGACCTGGAGATCCTCCCTCCTTGAATGTTTGGCGAGATAGAACGAATGGGTATATTGGGTGGCGGGCCAGGCTCAGCGCCGGGGGATCGGCGCTGGAATCCGCGCACCACGGTTTGAGGCTGCATCGCGGCGAAGACACGAGACGAAACGCCTCAGACTGTGATAATAATAATAATAATAATTTGTCTGTGTTGAGTCGGCGGCCCGACGGGCAGGCGTATGCGCAGTCGAGCTGGATCGCGGTCGGGATAAGCTGGCAGAAAGGAGTCAAGTCGCAATTAGAAATTAGTCGGCTTCCCGTGGTGTTCAGCTGCTACAGTCAAAGGACAGGCATGATCTAAACATTCAGCTGGTAGAATGAGCGGCGTCAAATATCACGGCCAAGAACGAGCGCAAACAAAGTGCAGAGAACAAACGCCGGAATGAAGGTGTGTGTGTAGCTGGCTGGATGGATGGATGGGGGACGAGGCCGGCGTTGAGGTTGGATGAGAGGTGCCACGACCGATCGCAACATTTCGACTGGCTGGTTGCATAGAGGAGCCACAGGTGGCTGAAGCGGAAGGTCATTGGGCAGCGACAGTCACAAGTGGTTTAGATAGTCGGGTCCACCCACTTGGATTATGGGGCAAGGATCCATCCACTATCGTCCAGCTGGAAAGTCCCTATTTACAGCGCCTCCAATGCCACCCAGCATGCTGACCTACTACATAACCACCGACATGGTACAACGGAAGGATTGATGCACTGGGATAGGGGATGGATTTTTTTTTGGTTTGTGCGACCAAATAACTACCAGCCTCCCCTGACTGTGCTCCAAGACACAAAGGTCGTCGAGTCCGTTTATCCAGTCCACCCGTGCGTCTGGTTGACCTTCGATCCTCCGCATTAGGTGCCCACCTGGCTTGCTTTGTCCGCTATGTCTTCCTGCTGCATCTGAGACAGAAGCAGTCACGCTTATGCCTGACTTTCCCCAAGCAGGCTGTCCTACGGCTCCAGACAGGAGCAGCATTGACGCTGGGTCCGGCCTTTGCCCTCTTCTCATGTCACAAGCCATCGATCAGTTGTTCGGTGCACATGTGATACAGCAACTGAGACTCTGAGTTGGCTCGTATTGCCTGTCCCTGATTTGCTGCCATGCACCAAGAACCCACCGCCACAAGCGCATTATACGAGCACTGCAAGTCTGGCTGACTCTGACTGGACAGATTAGTCTATAAATATTCGGTGGCAGCTGAGTCTATATGTGCCCACCCAGGAGCAATTATAGGCTAAGCAGCCTCCCATCAGATAGGGCTGAGTTTAAATGCCAGCTGCGTGCCAATAGCGCAGCCACTTAGGCGTCCCTCCCCTTTGTTGTTGCAACTAAGAGATGTGCCAACATAACCCGATGCTTGCAGACCACCATCGGCGGGAATCGGTCGACGCGTGGCTTTTCAGCCCTCATAGAACATGACATCCATTCTACCCATTGAACTCTAACTGGGCCCGGTCCCAGGGAGCTATGATACTTAGCCACAAGCCGGCTCTCTCGGAATGCGAATACGTATTGCCAGTAAGCATTTTAGCATACCTGTATCGGATCCCACCCTGCTTAGCCGTCGTCATAAGGCACGTAGGAGCCCAAGCATGTGGGAAGGGCTCATCGTATTTCAACGACGCTCCTTCCTCTCACACCCTCATGCTCAGCTTTCTCTCGGCTGATCAATGCATCCAGTGTATGCTGACTCTCTGAATGCCACTGTCCCGCCAAGTTCCTATTTGTAGCTCGCATCGTGATGTCCAAAAGCAATCTCAAGGTTGCAGTGGTTGGAGGCGGGCCAGCAGGTAAGCCACGCTCCTCTCTTCCGTGTCTCTTCCTTCATGCATACGCATTTCATACTAACCCCAAACCCACCGCATAGGATGCATGTTGGCTAGACTCCTGCACTTGGAAGGAATCGATGCTACCGTCTTTGAGGGAGAAGCCACTCCCAACTACCGGAGTCAGGGCGGGACCCTTGATCTCCACACTGATACTGGCCTGGCTGCCATGAAAGCTGCCCAGCTCTGGGACGAGTTTCTGAAGTATGCTCGCTATGACGGGCAGTATCTGGCAATCGTCGACAAGGACCTGGACCACTTGTTTGTGCGCCATCCAGGCAATGGGAAAGAGATCGCGGGTGAGAGCCCCGAGATTGACCGGTCCAGGCTCCGTCAGATACTGACCGAATCGGTTCCTGAGGGGATGATCCGCTGGGGACGTCGGTTGAAGAAGGTGGAAGGCAAGACGCTCGTATTTGAGGATTCGACAGAGACGGGATTCGATCTGATTGTTGGTGCTGATGGGGCCTGGAGTAAGACCCGTCAGGCCGTGGATCCCAAATTACAACCTCAATACGTTGGTGTCGGCATGTATCATCTCACCATCCCCGACGCCGAAGAGACTGCACCCGAAACATGCAAGCTAGTAAATCGAGGCAGCCTCTTTGCCCACAATGAAGGACAGCGACTTACGGTCCAGCAGATGGGCGATGGAAGTCTAGATGTACACGTCACTATCCGTCGAGATGACCCAGATTGGATGAAGGAAGAAAAGTGCGGGATAGATTCGACAAATCTCGAACAAGTCAAGAAGGAGCTTCTGCAAAAGGACTTCAGTGGATGGTGCCCCGAGCTTAAAGATGCGATAAGCAGTGCCCAGGGTCCCTGCATACCACGATCTCATCACATTCTCCCGATCGGAACACATTGGGAGCATGTTGACGGGTTGACACTTATAGGGGATGCAGCACATCTCATGACACCTTACGCGGGCGAGGGCGTGAACCTCGCTCTGGAGGACGCGATGCTGCTAGCAAAGGCAATCGTCAACTCCATCAACGGCCCAAACACGCTTGACGAAGAGGTCCGCCTATTTGAGAACAACATGTTCGTCCGGGCCAAGAAAGTGCAGCAACTCTCCGACAACCTCTGCAAGGATTGGCTGTTCACACCCGGTGCTCCGAGATCAGTGATAGCCCGGGCATTGAGTAGGCATATCAACTACCATCTGCCTGCAGTCCTCCATCCGCTCAGCCTCATGGGCCTTTCTTCATATTTCTTTCTCAGGCATCTTGTCAAATGAGGGGCTGACAGGCGTTTCACCCATGGCGCACCGGCGTTCCTTCCTGGTCTCCAGAGTTTAGATCTTGATGGTTCTGGCATAGGGACTGCCCCTTTCGCTCACCACCGTTATGTTTATGTGCCTGCACTGGGGGGGTCGTGACATCACATCCGGTGAGATGGCCGAGTTGGTTATGGCGTCAGGTTAAGGCTACCTTAGCATTCATTCCTGGTGGAGCAATCCTCCTGGGTTCGAGTCCCAGTCTCATCATTAACTCCTTATGAAACTTGTTTGATAACTGGGTTATGTTTTGTCTTTTTTTGAGGTTGTTTTAAATTGTCTTTTTGAATCGTGTTTTCAAAGCAATAGGGACCCTGTATATCAAATCATATGTTGAACATCTTCGCACAATAACATATTCAAATTTATAACAATTATGTTCGCGGTGCTATTTATGTGATGCAGCTCCACAGCCTCAAACTGGGTCAGGCGGAAATGTCTCGGGACAGTCTCGTCGTCTCAAAATAGAGGCTAAAATGGGGCCCGGGGCTTAGTAAGTGGGTGCCAGATTAGCATAGATATGAACATGCCCACGCGACCTGCATACTTGGCCTTGATCTGACAGCATGAACCAAAATAACATGCGAATTACCGCTCCAGCCTCAGGATGGACAATTCCCAGGCGCCTCTGATCTCCAACAATCGCCGAGACAGCGACGCCGAGTTCGAAGATGAGGACCTCGCGAGCGAGATCGGGATCGCACAGCCCAAGAGTGACCGGCCAGGGATATTCGTGCTTGCTCTCACATTCGCAGCCGGCATCAGCGGGCTCCTCTTTGGATGTACGTCTGCCTGATGATCTGAATGTCTCTGCAGCGGAGAATGCTAATGTTTCCGACCAGATGACACCGGTGTGATTTCCGCGACCCTCGTTTCCGTCGGTACATCGCTCTCCAACCGCAGCCTGACGTCCCTGGACAAGTCCATCATCACATCCTCGACGTCCCTCTTCGCCCTGCTCATATCCCCGTTCTCTTCCGTTCTCGCCGACAAGCTGGGCCGCAAGCGAGTGATGATATACGCCGACATTCTCTTCCTCGGTGGCGCCGTCATCCAAGCCATATCCAAGTCTGTCCTCGTCATGACCATCGGGCGATGCATTGTCGGATCCGCGGTAGGGGCTGCGAGCTTCGTTGTGCCATTGTACATCGCCGAGTTGGCACCCGCGTCGCACCGCGGAAGGCTTGTGACGCTGAATTCCGTCTTTATCACAGGTGGGCAAGTAGTTGCCTACGTCGTGGGCTGGCTGTTCTCGGCCTTTGGCTCCAAAGTGACGGGATGGAGGTGGATGGTCGGTCTGGGTGGTCTCCCCGCCGCCATCCAGTTTGCTGTAGTCTTGTTCATGCCCGAGACCCCCAGATGGCTGATCAAGGAGGGGAGGACGAACGAGGCGAGGCATGTCATCCAGAAAGTCAATGGCTCGTCGTCCTCCTTCGACATTGATGAGGTGATGAAGGAGATTGAACTCGAGGCCCGTGAAGAGGAACTTGCCCAGGATTCCCGCCCAGGTGACAGATCGTTCCTAGCAGGGTGGAAGCACCTGTTCAGTGAAGGCAAGCATCGCCGTGCCCTCGCAATTGCATGTGGTCTACAGGGGCTCCAGCAGCTGTGCGGTTTTGTATGTCTTGTCCCGCCTACACCACTACTACGATCATTGCCCTTGGAGCCCCTTTCATACTGACTAGTAATGTGTTTCTAGAACTCACTGATGTACTTCTCTGCTACCATCTTCACAATCGTTGGCTTCAGCAGCCCTACATTGACTTCACTTACAGTTGCCGTGACCAACTTCATCTTTACGATAGTTGCCCTCGGCCTCATCGACCGCATTGGACGGCGGCGCATCCTTTTATACACCATCCCAATTATGACAGTGGGGTTGCTTCTGTCGGCATTCGGGTTCTCGTTTATCGATCTCAGCGCATCGACCACTACTACCCAACAAGCCGAAGGGACGGGATCTGCCGGCCACGGGGGGATCGCCGCCACGATAATCCTGATCAGCATCATGATATACGTCGCATCGTACGCCGTTGGCCTCGGAAACGTCCCCTGGATGCAGAGCGAGCTGTTCCCCCTATCGGTGCGGTCAAAGGGCAGCGGACTCGCGACGGCGACCAACTGGGGCGCGAACTTCGTCGTCGGGCTGACGTTCCTCCCGCTGATGGATCTGCTGTCACCGAGCTGGACGTTTGTCCTGTACGCCGTCGTCTGCGTCGCCGGGTACGTGATGATTTGGCGGATCTACCCCGAAACGGCGGGGTTGAGCTTGGAGGCGGCAACGGCGCTGCTGGAGCACGGCTGGGGCGTTAGGTAGTAGAATAGACTGTGCCTAGAACTTACACCAGATCGAAATAAACTTGGAGCTTGTCCGACGAATTAAGCAATAGCACCCCATGACGCTGGCCAGGAACGCCAGGGACGATTAATAATGCTTCCAATGGATTAGCAAACATGGTTCAAATTAGTAATGGGGGCTTAGATCCGCGTGGCCTTTTATTCCATGCATTGTGGGCGGATTGCTGTGTTTGTGCCTTGGCCTGCATGTTGTGGCGGGACATTGCTAAGGCCGAACGGGTTCGGATTCGAAATCCGTTTCATTTTTTTTTTTTGCGACAAGACGCGAAAGCAGCGAACAACGTGGGAAGCTGTGGCCTGACGTCATGCCCGATTACCTTAGTAACGTCACTGCAGAATCGGTTCCGGTCGCTGGGTCACAGTCGGCACCTCTAATCACTGCCTAATTGATCCGTTTGAATCGCTTGCATCCGTGCTGGCGGAGAGCTGCCAGTCTAGGATTCTGCAAATCAGCGAACAAGAGCTTCTGCGCAGACTGGACTGGGACCACTCGATCTTGATCAGATTGAATTTTGATTTTTTTTTCTTCAGGTCGCGATACCTGGCCGACGATAACCTTCTTTGCCCGCGCCTCGGAATGCAGAAGATTAAATTCCGAGGCAGGCTGCTCTAGGCCGTATTTCCACAGGCCAAAAGCCGAAAAGCCCCACTGGCATAACTTGAGTGGACAGTTCACCGCTAGCGGCCTGGAAGATGCGCAGTTGCCGTCTTGCCGGGCCCGTTTACCAGGATAAATCCACTATCCCTGCCCGCTCGCTCGTGTAGAATTTTCTCTGCAGCGACTGCTACAGCGGCATGCAGACCCTTTGGCTGCCAGTGCGTCAGCGCCCCGCCTCTGCCTGCAGGGGAGATACTGCTCTTATCAGACATCACCGGGGCGCCCGACCTAAATGCGCAGACTCGGCCTTTCGCGTCGACCTGCGAACCGCCCTATGACGGCTTCATCAACCCAATTGCGCCCGCGGTTATTGTCGCATCCCGCCGCCGGGCTTACCCCTCCAGATGCCACGCACAGATCCTCCCTGCATTGCAAAGATCTGCCCATTGCTTTCCCGATGCCTCTCGGCGCCTGGAGTTAAATCTCAATTGCCACCGAAAACCCGGCTGGGATCCGCAACAGGGCCAGTTCGGCACCAGGTAATTTGTAAGGATGGTTACATGGGGGCTATCGGAGCTATGTACAGAATGTGGAAGAATTCTACACCTTCATGACTCAAAGGACATTAAATATTGGCGGCATCCCTGACTCCCCGAACTTTGAAACCAAGCAGCCTTCACTCGCACCGGCCTTGGGTATCAATAGTTATTACCTCCCATCTCTTCGCCCCACCAGATCCGTTCAGTTAATTATTTGCAACGAAAAGTCTTCATCAATTCCCCGGGGCCTACTTCTAGCCTCTTAGTCTTGTTTACGGCCGGGATTCGCTGTGCTGCTCCCAACGAGTCATAGCTCCAAACCTTCCTCCCCACCCACCTTCCATCCTTCTGCTCCAGCTCTTCTTATTAAAAACAACAAGCCCTACAACTCTCTCTTTGCACAATTCTCCCCCTGGATCTCACCTAGTACTAGTCCAGTCCAGCTGGTGCCCACATTGAGCCGTTACACAGGCCAGCTTACACGCCCGTGTATATATCCTACTCAGTAATTGGATCAAGCATACTTGAGACCAATACCTCGTTGCCCACCATGGCTATAGACGAGGCAGATCGTGAGATCATAGAAGCTGAGCGAAATGCTTCCCCCCAGCGGTTCCCCCGACGCAGCGATGAGATCGAGCGTGTATTAACGACATCGTCTGTCTCAACTTCATCCTCCTCGCACGCCAATGCCGCCTTCCGTCGCAACAACATGAGCCGAGTCTCTACGCAGAATGACCTCGAGCGCCATCCAACAGCGCTGAGCCGTATCCAGACTGGCCGCAGCCAGCACCATTCTACCGTCGGTGCCGGTCTGCACAGCCGAACCAGCACCCGCGCCTCCAGGAAGCCCCTGCCCAACTTCGGCGCAGGCAAGGCGTTTCCTCCCCCGCTGCCAGATCAGGAGGAGTACGTTGTCGAGTTCGACGGGCCTGATGACCCCCTTCACGCGCAGAATTGGCCTCTGAGGAAGAAGGTCTTGACGGCGGCCATGCTGGGATACACCACCATGACCTCGGCATTTACATCCTCCATCTTCTCCAGCGCCACCGCAGCCGTCGCGGTCCAGTACGGTGTCAGTTCCGAGGTTGGTTTGCTCGGAACCTCATTCTACGTGCTGGGTTTCGCGACCGGTCCAACCCTTTGGGCGCCGCTCTCCGAGTTGAAGGGACGACGGCTGCCCCTCGTTCTGGCCATGTTCGGTTTCACCATCTTCTCGATCGCATGCGGCACCGCCAAGGATATTCAAACGATTCTGATTTGCCGATTCTTCAGTGGTTTCTTTGGCGCCTGCCCGCTTGCTGTCGTTGCCGCCGTGTTCTCCGATATGTTTAACAATCAGACGCGAGGAATAGCAATCACTCTGTTCTCCATGGCCGTTTTCACGGGTCCTCTGCTTGCCCCCTTTATCGGAGGGTTTATCGTCGAATCTCACCTTGGTTGGAGATGGACCGAATACCTGCCCTCCATTATGGGTGCTGTTGCGTTCCTTCTCGACTTCTTCTTCCTCGAGGAGACTTATCCTCCTGTCATTCTCGTCTCCAAGGCTGCTGACCTCCGTCGCCGCACCAAGAACTGGGGCATTCACGCCAAGCAGGAGGAAATCGAAATCGACTTCAAGGAGCTGCTCCAGAAGAACTTTTCGCGTCCTCTCCGCCTCCTCTTCACCGAGCCTATTATCCTCCTCCTGTCCATCTACATGAGTTTCATCTATGGCCTTCTTTATCTCTTCCTTACCGCCTACCCTCTTGTCTTCATGGGTGTGCATGGTTTCAGCTCGGGACAGTCCGGTCTGACCTTTTTCGGCATGATTCTCGGCCAGCTGATTGCAGGCGCGTTTGTCCTTGCCCAGCAGCCCTGGTACACGCGCAAACTGAAGGCGAACAACGGTATTCCTGTGCCCGAGTGGCGTCTTCCCAGTGTCATGGCAGGCGGAGTGTCCTTTGCCATTGGCATCTTCTGGTTCGGATGGTAAGTGGTTTCCAGGCCCTCTCAAGCCAGCTCTGTACTAACAACCATTCGTAGGACCGGTTACAAGAAAGATATCCACTGGATTGCTCCCGCTCTCAGTGGTCTCTGCACAGGCTTCGGTCTCATGTCCATCTTCCTCCAGGCACTCAACTACCTTGTTGACGCATACCTCATGTTTGCAGCCTCTGCCATCGCCGGAAACACCTTCCTGCGATCTCTGTGCGGAGCTGTTTTCCCCCTGTTTGCCCGCCAGATGTTCGATGGCATGGGTATCCAGTTTGCCGCCACGCTCCTGGGTTGCGTGGCAGTCGTGCTCGCCCCTATTCCCTTCATCTTCTACAAGTATGGCGCCGCCATCCGAAAGAAGAGCAAGATCGCGCCCACCGACTTTTTCGTCCCTCCCGCCCCCGCTGCTGAAGAGGAGGAAGACAGCACTCCGGAGAAGGAGGGTGCGCATCATGCCGCGGCAGCTTGCGCCCCCAGAAATGAGAACGGGGAGACGACCAAGGAGACGGCATAAATCTTCTCACCCCATCCAAACTCACCTACATACTTTATCCACGTCTTGTGGACACAAAACTGAACAACAGACACAACAATAATAAACAGCAACACGATGAATATCCCGAAACCAGGTGTTTCCAATGTCTTCTTGCATAATTTGGGTGTTCCTATGGGTATGGGCGGCAGCAATATATCGGATTTTCATGCCCGGGGGGGATTAGCGATGCCTGTGTGTTCATTGTTCATTGATACCTTGAGAATTTTCTTGTTTCTTTTTTCTTATATTACGACCAAAAGACTGTTCAGCAGGAACCAGATACCTACCTACATACATACATACCTTGATAGTAATCTAATATGTCACACATCCAAGCTGGCTTGCAACACCATCACCGGGTGACGTGAAACAAAACATACCATTTGCTGATCATCAGTCCTTGGCTAGTTTCTCACTGAGGGCAAGGACTGTAAGCACTAAACACCCAACCCCCAGGTTCCGTATACGGCCCGTCTGACTACCCACAAGGCAAACCATGCGCGGGGTTGTACAGCCAGAGCCATTCGAAGCAGGGTTCAATCGCACTGCTTACCACTATCTCCCTACCGGGGTGGGCACGCACCCATCGTATAGCGGAACGTTGAAGTGTTCAGCCCGTGTGATAGCGTGCAGATACCTGATTGAACAAGGAATTCCAGGTGTGTGAGGTTTCTTCTTCCTCGAAACTCTATTTCAGGAAGGTCGGTTACAGCAATGCCGATAGGTGAAAAAAGGGGTCCCGGGTCCGTTGTCTGGGAATTAGCAAAACAGAACCGACTTATATCAGCCGATCCGGCGCCGTGATATGAGGTCTGCAAGACAGGCATCATACATCATGCACACTTCTTTCCAACCTGCCAAATCCCACCCACCTACACATCACCCTACCAACTCTATATAAAAGCTGAAAGTAAAACCCAACCCGCCATGACCGAGCAAGAAACCCCCCCCTCCGCCACCTACGACGCCGGATGCCACTGCGGCAGCATCAGCTTCTCCTTCACGCTGTCGCCCCCGCTCCCGGAGTACGAGGTCATGAACTGCGGCTGCTCCATCTGCCGCAGGGCCGGATACCTGCTCGTCTGTGCGTTTTCCCAGTAAGGGGGGGGAGGGAAGACTTATCATCGCATTTGAGTTTTCTGACCGTGGGCGTGGTTGTTTGTTGAAACCTTAGACCCGACGTATGAGAACGTGACGTGGCACAAGGGCTCCAAGGAGCGCTGCTCCGTTTATCAGGTTTGCGTCCCCCGAATACCTTCGTTCGAGGTTTTAAATGTCACTTTTTATTCTGAGCTAACGGTGGTGTGTTG